AATTTATACTAGAAATTAAGGAAATTATCAAACGAGAATATACGTAACTGCTCTTATCACACAGTTAGAAAGCCAGGTAAATTATGATAGTTATAAAGCATTATTTGTTTTGTGCATATTATTAGTCTGTGTTCTTAAGTGCATTATTTAATTAAATAAAAATTTAGTGTATTATTACCATTAGTTTAAGAAGTAGGCTTAACTTTCATCAATAGTCAAACAGCAAAAAAAAGGGGGACACATGTAATTACCATATTTCTTTTTTTTTATCATGTATGTTTTTATATATTAGAAAAGATAATGAAAAATAATAATAATTCTCATGAGGTATGCTTGTGTATTTACCAAGTTATTTACAGCTTGTGTGGCAAGATTATTAGTTAGGTGTGTCAAAGGGTAATGAAACAATAAAACTTAAGTATAAACAGATGGATTCTCTTACAAGCTTTAAGCTATTTAGGATTAACAACTGTAGTTTCATGTTACAATCTGCAGTCATTATAGAGAGTGAAAAAGGTAATTTAGATTTATTTCATATTTTTTATGGTATTTATTAGATCATTGAAATTGACTGAGTGCATATAGTTAGGGTAGATAAAATAACATAAAATATGGAGTTTTACTGAAACAACATTAAATTTTATATTTATTTAGGAGATCTTAGAAATAATACAAATGAAATTTGACAATTTTTAGGTGAAGAAAAATATTTTTAATCTTAACATTAAAAAACACTTTGAGTACAGTATAGTCAACAACTTGACTTCATATATTCACAGATAAATTTTTAGTAAAAGTACTTAAATAATCAGATTTTTTTGTGTATGAAAAACTTATAATGTTTACTGAAATCTTGCCAGATTTCATGAAGATATACAAAATGTATTAAGAGTTATAGTAAAGAAACAGATGGCAACTTTGGGGTCACAAAGTTGGTGTAATTCACTGAACCTGCAGTGACAAGGATAATTGAACTTGTGACTCTAATCCATATCACCTGGTTGCTCAAAGTTAGATTGAGTTTGTAGTTGTCGGTTGCTAAATTGCATTTTTATAGCTCATACCACATGCAGTAAATCAAGAATGAATTGAATTTTGAAGTCACTACAATGTAGCTTATACCACTCAATATCTCAGCATTACTGTACATTGAATTTATAGTCATGAGTCATATAGCAGTTACTAAACTCTCCATTAACTTTGCTCAAGCACTTAAACCACCCAGTACCTCAGCACTATTGAACCTGCAGTCATGGCTTTAAAATTAAATCATAACTACTGTCATAACTCCTACAATGCAGTAAGTAATACTTAATTTATACATGCAGTTCCTTAAAGTATTGATGCTTAATTTAATAAATGGTTTTAACTTTTTAAGAATTAGTGATTAAACTGTGGTGTTATACAGAATTGTGTAGTATTGGCATCAAAGCTTAATCCTGACTTTTAGTATCCCAAGCATTAGTTTGAGTTATTGAAAGCTTAATATTAACTTTTGGTATCCCAAGCATTGGTTTGAGTTATTGAAAGCTTAATCTCATCTACTAGTATCCCAAGCATTATGTTCAGCTTTAGTTCCAGTTTCAGTTACTGAAACATAAAAACCCTCACCTGAATGTATGCATTTTCATATCTGTGTTTATTCCTCATTACTGTTTATTTAAAAAGCAATGAATGCTTTGCATGCCTTATTCCTATCAGTTTGTTTTTATTTTGTTTGTCATGCTTAGAACATCCATCCCTTGTATGTATCCCAGTAGTAAATGCATAATGTTCTTCCCTGTGATTTTTGATGTAATGATTATTCATAATAAATTTGCTTTGTTTTGAGTGGAAATAAATCTGCTGGAATCTGCCACCAGATCTCTCTCAGGCATTGTACAAAGCATAGCTGTTGAAGTATTTAAACATGAGAAATGTGATCTTTTTGAACATTTATCATGATCTGTTTTTTATGCTTTGCCAAAAACCTGGTGACAGCTTCATTTTGATCTGTTTCCCTATTTTTATTTTGTTTGTTTGTATTCTGTATGCTTTGCCTTGAACAGTTTAGAATTGAAACTTGAAAGATAATTTTGTATACAAGCATGTTTTTTTCTTTTTTTTTTCAAGATAAATTGGTATTTATATAGATAAGATATAAATTGTCTAATAAGTGTTGGAACTATTGTCTCATAAGCTGAAAAAAGCTTATTGCATGTATTTTAAATACATACTGATATGCTATTACCAAATTGAGTAACAGGAAATTCTACATCCTAGAACTTGCATTATGTTCAGAATTGAAAGTAACAGCTAATTACTAAGACATGAATAGCCATTGCTTGAGATCAAGTTTCTGTTTTTTTTTTTTTCAAAGTCAGATACTTAAGTTTTGTGATATTCTTTTTAGTTTTATATTTGCTATACTATATCAGCTGTAACCTTGAATGTAAAAAAAAAAAAAAA